GGTGGACGCTCTGGGGGAAGAGTGGGAGGATGCGCGGAGGGGCCAGCAGGAAGGGTCCGGGGCCCACTCCAGGCAGAGCTGGGGGAGGGAAACAGCTCCACATATTGGTGGAGCAGGGCCCCCGGCTCTGTAACTCGCTGGCACTTCCGGGTTCAGGGGCGCAGGGCCCGAATCGGCCTAAGGCCGGCCCTGCCGGCAGCCACCAGGCATGCTGAGGCCCGGGATTTTTTTCCTTTTTTCCCGCAGCCCGCTACCGGGCCGCGGCCCATAGTTTGGGAAATGATGCCTTAGAGGAATCGCTGCAACTGCAAGTATAAAGAACCAAACTTGCTTCCCCATTAACACTGCTACAGCTTCCTGTGCAGGATCCACAGCTGGACTAAAACTTCCTGCAAACTATATTCATGCTAATCTCACCTTTAAATAAGCCATGGTGAGGAGTGGCAATAAAGTGAATGGTACCAAATATAGCAGGGCAGGCTGTGCAGCCCGGTGAATTCGAGAAGCCACTGTTGCAGTTAATAGACCTACAAAGAGTTTAACAAAAAAAATATGTGATGCTAAGTGTCTACTGGTGATGTATGATGTTTTTACCCTTTTACCCACATCTGGATTCCTCCTTCACAGTTCTGTTACGGCAAAGTATTAATTAGGAGCCAAGAGACCTAGGGTATATTCCTATCTTTTCTATAGACTGTTCAGCTGTGGGCTATTTTATCTGTGCCTACATTTCCCAAGACAAATATGAAAAAAATAAAATAAAATAATGATTTTATTTAAATTGGTTTTAAGATGAGACTTGGTTGTAACTACAATTTCAAGATTTTACAGTCCCAAGGGTTAACCTAACTATAGCTATAGTCACAAACAAAATAGTTGGATGAAGGCATCAGAATGGGTTGTTACACTTTCCAGGATATTAGCTGAGGTTTTCAACCTGGAAGTCACTAAATTGAAACATAAGAAGTCTGAGGGTAGCGAGTTCTCATGTCAGGAACCATCTCTCTTCTCAGGAATTTGTCTGAGGGAGCTGGGGTGGAAGGGGGCGGTTTTTTTTTCTTTTCTTTGGTTTTGTTGTTGGGTTTGGTAGGGAATGGTCTTTCCATCTTGAAAGAACTGGAGGAGTTAAATTAGGTGCATGTGCCTTGAGCTTTATGGAAGTATTTTTAAAAGGGGGAGGGGGAACCTGTCACATTACAAAAAACAACTCCCTAGTTTTGATATTTTGAAGTTCCTGTTTCTTCTAGAAGTGTCACAGGATCATGAGTCTAATATTAAAAAGTGTAACAGAAATGACCAATCATGTTTTTTTTTTCCAGATCCCATATGCAACACAATCCATCTGGAAATTCTAGCATTCCCTTCATAGCCCACCCTCAAATCACACATCCTCCCCCTACTGATGTAAACTTTCAAAGAGGCACAGCACAATCTCATCCTCCTCTAATTCAAGCAGTTATTTATAGAGAAAATGAGATTTTTCCCTCAGGTCCATATTCTAAAGTCCAAGGAACTTATGAAGGACTTCCTCCCCCCACCCCCCCTTACTGACTGGTTTCATTATCTTGTAACCCAGTATGACCAGCCCACTCCTGTAAGCAATGGAGCTGATGTTCATTTCCTTACCTACAAAGTATCCAATGAGTGTGCAGTGAAAATAGGAGACCTTCTGCATACGTCCAGAGATGTTCCCAGGTCCTGGAGTACCACAGGAATCACTATTGGCTTGTTTTTTGTAGTTATCATAACGTAGGACAAAGCAGAGCAGAAGACCTGGCATCACAATATCTCCAATCCCCAACATAGAGAAGTGGCTGCCTGTGGAACTACATAACACTGGATGGCCAGATCTAGACTCCTTATTTCCTCTGTGCTTCTATATATGCCACCTGGCATGAGTGATCTGGTTGACAGAAGAAAATTGCCAGCTGGCAAAAAGGGACCATGTGATCCCATCATTACTGCAACATAAGGCATTTTGAGTTTTGTTTAATCTTTTGGTTCTGGAGGGTAAGATTTCTTGCCAAATAAGACTCTATTGCTTCATATCAGGACATCCCAATTCGTAGCATTTCAGCCTTCCCAGGTCAGAGAAGTGATGCACATTAACTTTTTTTGTGGCATCAAACCAGTGAGTGAAACAGTTCCACTAATTCCAGATGCTTCACTCAACTTTCTCTCAGATTTCTTTTTGGAATTACCGGTAATCTAATGTTTGTGGGAGGTGTTGGACAGTGCTGTAAACTTAAATTACTTATTGTCAGCAACAAGCAAATCTTCCCTCACGGTGCCCCACCAATACATAAGAACAGCCATACTGGGTCAGACCAAAGGTCCATCCAGCCCAGTGTCCTGTCTGCTGACAGTGGCCAGTGCCAGGTGCCCCAGAGGGAGGGAACACAACAGGGAATCCTCACGTGATCCCTCCCCTGTCACCCACCTCCAGACAAACAGAGGCTAGGGACACCATTCCTACCCATCCTGGCTAATAGATTCATGGAGGTTAGGTCCATCAATGGCTATCTAGTTCTTTTTCGAACCCTGTTAAAGTCCTAGACTTCACCACATCCTCTGGCAAGGAGTTCCATTGCAGGAGGAATACCAACTAAACCTCATTGCAGGAGGAATACCAACTAATTCAAGTTAGGGCTTTAAATTGGACTCCCGTTTCACTGCCGCGTGTAGATGCAGGCAGTTACTCCGGGCTAGTGAATTTCTAAAATGGCGACCGGCCGGGAACATGCAAATCAAGCGCGGGATATTTAAATCCCGGGCTTGATTTGCAACTTCGGTATGCTTCATTTGCCTTCCTACTTCGAAGTAGGGGGTAAGTGTAGACATACCCCAAGAGATCCCGGATCAGAAAAAGGTTGTTGAAGATGGTTCGGCCTGGGATGGTGTAGGTCTCATCTGGATGGACCACGTCCGCCAGCACAGACTTCAGCCTTAGGGGGATGGCTTTGGCGACAATTTTATAGTCTGTGCTGAGGAGCGAGATGGGACACCAATTCCTCAGATCGCGGAGGTCCCCCTTCTTGAGCAGCAAGGCGAGCACGGCTTGCCTGCACGATAAAGGGAGGACCCCGCTCTTCAAGGACTTGGCCCAGACGCTAGCAAGGTCCGGGCCGAGGACGTCCCAGAACACGCGGTAGAACTCCACGGTCAGCGTGTCCATGCCCGGGGATTTATTGGTGGGCATGAGACGGAGGGCTTCCGAGAACTCAGCCAGGGAGAGAGGCAGCTCTAGCTGGTCCCGGTTGCCCGTGCTGACCATCGGGAGTTCGTTCCAGAGAACGAGGCATAGATCTCCACTGGATCCGTGAAGGGGGTGTCATCCTCCGCCAGAAGGCAGATGATGTGCCCGGAGTTCCTCCTGCTTCTCCTGGTATGCTCCGCAGAGGGATGGATCTCTAGGGCCAGTGGCAAGTTGCCTTTCTAGCTCGAAGACCTCCTGTTCCAACTGCTCTATCGCTGCATCCCTCCGCCGGCTGGCCCCCT